TCATTTTTCTTTATATTCACTTTTCTTTTTTCTGTTCTTGTTTTAGAAAATATTTTCTGCTTCTTTTTCTTTTTCTTTTCTTATATTCACTTTTTTTTCTTTTATTCCACTTTCTTTTTTCTGTTCTTTGTTTTAACTTTTCTGTTTTTCTTTTTTATCCACTTTTTTTTTCTTTATATACCACTTTCTTTTTCTGTTCTTTGTTTTAAGAAATTTTTTCTGTTTTTTTTTTTTCTTTTTCTTTTTCTTTATTCACTTTTCTTTTTCTTTATTTTCACTTTCTTTTTTTGTTCTTTGTTTTAAGAAATATTTTCTCTTTTTTTTCTTTTTCTTTTTCTTTATATTCACTTTTTTTTTTCTGTTCTTTGTTTGAAAAAAAATATTTTTTCTGATTTTTTAAATTATTATTATTTCTTGTTATTTTTTCTGTTTTATTATTATTATCATTATTATTTGTTATTTTTTCAGTTTTTATTTACTTCTTTTTTTCTATTTTTCTTTATTTTCTTTGTTCGTTATTTCCCCCTTTTCTATTTCCTTCAATTTCGTTCTTTGGTTTCGTTCTTTTCTTCTTTTTTATTTTCTCTGCCTTCTTTTCTTTTTTTCTCTCTCTCTCTTTCTCTTTTTTTTCTTTCCTTTTGTCTTTATTTTCCTTTTGTTTTCCCTCTTCCTCTTTCTTTCCTCCATTTCTTTTCACTTTTCATCGTATTTTTCCCTTTTCTCTTCGATATATTGTGAGACAACAAAGGGATTTTTTCCTCAATAAATTCCATTTGATTCCGAGTCTAAAAAACGGATTAATTTACTTAATTTCGGAATGAAAGTCCCTTTTTAGAATTAAATAAAGCTATTGCAGTTAACCATTTATCCGAAAATAATCTGACTACAGTAAAAATTTGCAGCAATAAGTACGCAAGGAAAAGTGAATAAATAAAGAATGGAAATAGGTACAAGAAACAAAGAACAAGAAAATATAATGTAAATTCGGTAATGACTGAAAACCTAAGAAAAACAANATATATTTTCCCCCTTTCAACACGATAATGTTTCAATTTCAAAAAGGCTAACAATTATCTGACCTTGTGAAATGTTTATATGACTATTCGCTTAAGTATCATGTCATGCATTGCCTAACAGTCAGTGTAATGGATTATTATTAATTGGATCGCGTTGAGTTACTAATAGTTTGATTTGATTGAAAGAGCATTATCAGTAGGATTTCCAGGTGTTATCTTGGTTATTGTGATTCCTATTTAATGTTGTTATCCTTGGCAGTTTATTTCTAGACTTTTCTAAAGGATTTCAGTAGTATTATCCAAAACTGATAAATATAGAATGTATAGCACATCCCCTCCCCCACACACACACATATATTATTTAGATAGATAGATAGATAAATGATTATATATATATAATATATATATATAATATATATAATATATATATACATTATATAATATACATATATATATATACTAAATATATATATAAGATATATATATATAATATATATATATATATCTATAATACTGATATATTAATATATATGTGTGTGTGTGTGGTGTGTGTGTGTGTGTGTGTGTGTGTGTGTGTGTGTATGTGTTTCATATATAGAAAAAATATTAAATGCTCTGTCTCTTTCTCTAGGCATTTATCTATCTAACTATCTGTCTGTCTATCTATCTATCTCTCTATCTAACTATCTTTCCCCCTCTCTCCCTCGCCTACTTCCTATTTTTATTATATATGTAAATAGAAATAGTCTAGACAAGTAAGAATGGAAAGAGTAGAAGAGAATAGTAATAATCAGAGAATAGTATAATTCAGAGAAACAGATGATAGTCCAAAAACATAGTCCAGAGAAAAATAGAAATAATCAAAAGGCAGTTGAAATAGAGAAGTATAGAGAAATTAAAATAATTCAGAGAAACAGAAATGGCCTAAAGAGAGTCGAAATAGAAATAAAGAGAAATATGATCAATTCAGAGAAATATAAGTAATCCAGAAAATAGAAAAAGAAACAGAAATAGTCCAAAGTTAGTCGACACAGAAACAGAAATAAAGAGAAATAGAATAATCCAGAGAAAGAGAAATATAAATGGTCTAAAGAGAGTCGAAATAGAAATAAAGATAAATAGAAATAATAGAGAAATATAAGTAATCCAGAGAAATAGAGAAAAACAGAAATAGCCCAAAGTCAGTCGACACAGAAACAGCCCGCAGAAATGGAAATAGAAATAGTGCAAAGCAGACATAAAATTCAGGTGAAACAGAAATAAAGAGAAATAGAAATAATCCAGAGAAAGAGAAACAGAAATAGTCAAAAGAGAATCGAAAGAGAAATAGAAATAATCCAGAGAAATAGAAAAAGAAACAGAAATAGTCCAGTCAGTCGACATAGAAACAAATGAAGAGAAATAGAATAATCCAGAGAAAGAGAAATATAAATAGTCTAAAG